GTGAGAGAAAGAAAAACTGAAGTTTTGTGTATAATGTTTTTAAAAGATAGGATTTGGCCCTCATATTAAACCTGGCATTTCAAGGCTAGATATGTCTTTGTATTAAATATTGACAGTTATCTACTTGCATATTCCTTCTTTCCTTGCAACTTTGCCAGGCTACTCTATTCCTGTTTTTGCTTACTTGCTTGTCGTTTTTTGGTGTTTTTTTTTTTTTTTAATCCTCACCCAAGAATATGTTTTGATTTGAGAGAGGGAGAGAGAAACATCAATGTGGTAGAGAAACATCGATTGGTTGCCTCCTGTATGCTCCCCAGCCAGGAATTAAACCTGCAACCTTTTGGTGTGTGGAACACTCCAACCAACTGAGCCACCCTGCTAGGGCTATTACCCTGTGTGTGTTTTTAAGTTCCTCCCTCCCCAGTTGCAAAAATAAATTACAATAAAGTTTCCTTTTAGGGCAATATGTATTGAAATTTTAAAAGTTAATGCCCTTAATTCTACTTCTGGACATTTATTTTTTAAAAATAAAGAGTTGCAAACGTTTAGTTACAAATGCTTATTATAGTATTACTAGAGAGCTGATGCATGAAAAACGTGCACAAGTAGGCCTTCCTTACCCTGGCTGCTGGCATCAGCTTCCCTCTGGCACCCTGGACCCGAGCTTCCCTCACAGCCCCGGCTTTGTCCAGAAGGACGTCCAATCTAATTAGCATGTTTTGCTTTTATTACTATAGATAATAGAGAAAATGGCAAACATCCTAATATCTATGGTACATCCATATAATGAAGATCACTGCAGTTGTTAAGGACTTTAAATGAGTTAATGACATACTGAATTAAAAAGAGTTAATATATGCCATAACAGTAGTTCAGTTTATAAAACATTAAATTCAAAAAAACTCTTTTGAGTTGCCTAAAATATTAGATGGTGGGAAACGAAATGAATAAGACAGTTCTTGTATTCAAAGAGTTTAGTGTCTGTAGATAAAGCAAAAATCAAAAAAATAATTACAAAATAAAATTTAAAGTATACTAGTTGTGTTATTTACAATAGGAACCAAAGAAAATATAAAATGAATGAATGAATGAATGAATGAATGGAGTAGAATAGTTCACAGAGCAGATCGTATGCGATAATTTCACATGGGAAAAAGAAGTTTATGGACTTTAAAAAGTCCTTTAAAAGAGCATGCTAAATGGTAATCTTTCTGTAAAGGGGTTGTGGGTAAGTCTTATGCTTTATTTAATATATTTTGATAATATGTTTGTACAGGTATTTGAACCTTTAAAATTAACAAAGCCAATAGGAAATTTTTTCTGAACTAAGAAAAGTGAAACTAAAATGTAAGTTATAGTTATTAAAGAAGAAATCTAGGAAGTGATGCTTTTCTTTGCAATACTCTTGCACTAAGTAGAGTTGATCTTGGTAGTCAAAGAGTTGTCACAAATCACTGTGTGGATTTTCACAATGTTGAATAATAAATTCTAATTCTAGATATTCTTTGAAGTCAAGAGTTGCCTCTGTTCTAAAGAGGGTTTTGTAGGATGAGAGATTCATAAGTATTGATAGAGTTCTTACATTTATGGAGCTTTCAGTTAAGTATGAAAGTTAGGTGACTTAACTATGCTGTCGCAGAAGTTTAGGATTTGGATTATTATGGGAGGTTTGATAGGGTCACAGCTTAGGTAAGGCAACAGCAGGAAAAAGCAGGAATCAATGAGCTTGGCATATGTGAAAAGTAATGACATTAGTATGCCTTGAAGTTGGTTAAAAGGTATAGAGTGGAGAAAGTATAAAATAGGCTGACTCTAGGTAAGGTGCAACTCATGGATGTATTACTCTGAATATGCTGAAATCAGATTTATTCCTGTACTACAAGAGAACTATTCAGACTCTTAAAATAGGAGCAATTTAAAGTACTAAGTGTTTAAATTGACCTTTTTGTGATATATTTAATAACCTAAAATTTTTTATTTAATCCTCACCCAGGAATATGTTTCTCTTTCCTCCTCCCCAAAAAATCAAATTTAAAAAAGGAAATTGTTCTTTAAAAAGTGTTCATAAGTAAACCCAAATACTTAGAAGAATTAAATATAATGTACTAGAAGCCCCGTGCACAAAAATTTGTGCACTGGCAGGGGAGGGGATCCCTCAGCCCAACCTGTGCCCTCTCACAGTCTGGGACCCCTCGGAAGATAACCACCTGCTGGCTTAGGGCCACTCCCCAGGTGGCAGATGGCACGCCCAGTCCCGCAGTGTCTGCCCCGTCTCCCCCAGTCGCAGATGGCAGGCCTGGATCCCGTGCTGGGGTGGGCGGTGACTGGGGATCTCGCTGCCGCCCACCCCACCCAAGACACTGCAGGCCGGGATCCCGCGCTGGGGCTAGCGGCCACTCAGATTGTGCTGCCGCCTGCCCCGCCCACCCCACCCAAGACACTGCAGGCCTGGATCTCACCATGGGCGATACAGTGGGATCTGCCTGCAATATGCAAATTAGCCACCCTCTTTGTTGGCTGTTAATTTGCCTA